TTGTGTGCTTATTAAAGCCAGATAGAGTTCCACATACTTAGTTAATCCTCTGAGGTGGGTGCTACTGTTATCCCTATCTTAAAGGTAAGGCTCAGAAAAGTTAAATAACTTGCTTGGGGTTACAGAACTATTATACTAACTGGCAGATCTGTGATGTAGCTATTCAGTCCTTCTCTACCGGCTGCAACCTGCACATTATGCTACCTGTAAGTGCCAGTTGGTGAGCTTCTAAGTAGCAGTACAATTGTTAATAGGGGTTTTCGGGTTTTTTTGCTTTAATAGAAAGATTATTAACTTTAGGTCATTATTCTGGCAATTCTTGTATACAACTTTATTTTTTCAGTCCATTGGGGATTATTAAAGAGCTTTTGTGATTTCTGCATCTCCCAGAAATGAACAGATGTAGCTGATAAAGCTGTATCTAGCATGCTGTTGGTTACATTCTGTTTTGTTTCTCTGGGCAGGCAGCTTGGCATGGTGGAAAAAGCATGGGCTTTAGCTTCAGTTAGATTTGGGTTTAAATTCTGGCTTCAACATTTCCTAACTGCTAGCTTTGCTTTGTTTTTTCACTAGTAGAATAAGGATAATAATATGGCCCTTCAGGGTGGATATGAGAATTGCATGAAATAATGTAGGCAAAAGACCTTTAAAGTGGAGTCAGGAAATAATAAAATCTTAATAAATATTAAGTCACTTTTTTAGATACATTTCTCAAAATGAAATGAAGAAACAAAATGTACCTTTTTCTACTATAAAATTCAGGTACAACTGACTGGAGAATGAATATTTTGCAAAGAAGAATTTATATTCTAAAATCCCAAAGAACTCATGGCAATTAATAAATTCACTCTTGATTCCTATATTTCAAATCATGGTGATGTAAAATATTGTAACCAATTATCTTGTAAACATTTTGAAATTCATGATTTGATATAACAGGAACATTTTATCAATGGTCAAACTAAACTCATATGGCATTCATTGATCATTTTTTTCATGTGAGCTTTCATCACTGACCTTTTAGATGTTTTCACAGGTTTAGTTATTCTGTGATGAAATATTTCTATCATTTTTGCTAATCTTCCTTTTTCTTCTACTATTTACTATTAAATGTTACCAGTTTCTGGTTATACTTTTGTTTTATTTTCCCCCTTCATGTCATTAAAAAAAAAGTTGATTCATTTTATTCTGTTGTTTATACAGAAAAATATCTGGGTATATTTTTATTACAGTGACTGTAGTGCTGATTAGTATTTTTAGTTTTGGGATCATTATACCTCCTCAGGAAGGGTGGCAGAGAGCAATTAGATTTTGACTGGAGAATTGAGGAGCTTTCGATTTGATTTGGGGTCTGTTTCTTAATTTATCTAAAATTGCCTTTTCCACAGTTTAGTAATTGAGCATATTCTGTTATTTTTTAAACAGATTAGCTCATTTTCAAAATGTTTACTTTATATCTGACTTCTTTACTCAACTGAGAGCCATGAAGCATGTAAGGACTTTTCTTTTCTTAGCTTATTGTTATTTTATTTTTAAATGAACTGGGTATATGTGAAAACTATGTTCTTTTAAAAGCTTGTCTTCTTCATCATTGTATTTAATTTATTTCTTTTTAATTTTTATTTTAAAAAGTAATTTTCTTGCCTTGGCCAGTGTGGCTCATTGGAATGTCAACCTGCGCACAAGGGTCTCAGGTTCCATTCCTGGTCTAGGGCAGGTACCTGGGTTTCAGGTTCCCTCTCTCCATCCCCCAATCTGGGCACAAGCAGGAGGCAACCAGTTAATGTGTCTCTTTCACATTGTTATTTCTCTTTCTTACTCTCTCTCTTCCCTACCCTCTCTCATTTACTATCTTTGAAAAGCAGTTGGGGGAGGAAACAGAAATATCCTCAAGTGAGGATTATTTATTTATTTGTTTATTTAATATATTTTTATTGATTTTACACAGAGAGGAATTGAGAGGGATAGAGTGTTAGAAACGTCGATGAGAGAGAAACATCGACCAGCTGCCTCTTGCACACCCCCCACTGGGGATGTGCCGGCAACCAAAGTACATGCCCTTGACCGGAATCGAACCCGGAACCTTTCTATCCACTGAGCCAAACTGGTCTCGGCAGATTATTTTAAAAAGTAATTTTCTTTGTAGATTCTACTCTCACTGTATTATCTCAGCACATTATTGGAATTGAAGTATGCTTATTATTAGTAACATCACTTGTTTTATTCTGTAATCTAATATATATTGTCAATTAAATAGATTAGGAAAGCTTTACTTTTTTTTTCTTCTAGAAAAACGGAAAATAAATTCTCTTATCCCTACCAAGCCTAGTTGAGGCCTTCATTCTATATACATGGTTATCCAGAACCCCTTCTCTAGTTCAGGATAGGAAGCTACTCCTGTGATGAGCTAATATATTTGTACTCTCTTACCATCAGAGATATCTGTGGTCCTAACTGTGTTTAGGGATCAAGACACATTGATCCCTAGCTGAAGCCGGTTTGGCTCAGTGGATAGAGCGTCATCCTGTGGACTGAAAGATCCCGGGTTCGATTCCAGTCAAGGACATGTACCTTGGTTGCGGGCACATCCTTAGTGGGGGTTGTGCAAGAGGCAGCTGGTTGATGTTTCTCATCAATGTTTCTAACTCTCTCTCCCTCTCCCTTCCTCTCTGTAAGAAATCAATAAGATATATTAAAAAAAAAAAAAAAAAAAGACACATTGATCTCTAAACATAGCCACTTTAAAATGTTTCTTTCTCAAATATCTGTTTAGTCTAATGATAGCAAATAAAATATTTTCATCTCAGACTTCTTTTGAAAGCTGAAAATTTTCTTCAATTCACCATACAATGTACTTTACTTCTCTTTATTACATACAACCCCATAACATTTGTATCTCAAGATCACTGCTAGGACTATTTGATAAAAAAGTGCAAGTGCAGATACTTAATGCATTGCAAATAGAAAGAGGCAACTGCTATGTTTATTCTTTAATAATCTCTGGAACAAATGCCAATATCTGCTGAAAATACTTTAGTGTACTGCTTATATTCACTACTATTCTTTCTTCCTTGAATCTTTACTCCTGGAAAATAAATAATGCCAGCAGGAACTAAAAATGACCATTTTTCTTCTCTCTAAAGAAAAATTTAATGTTGATGACAGCTGTTAAAAACAAGATATTTGTGTTATATTTATAAGGCAGATCTTGGGAAAAGTAAATTTTAAAAAATGTCTCTGTAAATGGTCTTGGTTAGTATTTGCTACTTTGCTTACTCAAAAAGTCTTAATTCTTTGTCACAATTAATGGGTGGTTTGACTGGATGTAGAATTGTACTTAGAAAATAGTTTTTCTTTCTTTTCAAAGAAACTTGTTAGATTGGCTTCTAGCTTCCATTGGTTCTGTTGAAAAAGGTTTGTGTGTTTTTTTGCCAATTTGAGTATTGATCTTTAGTCTGTGAATTTTTTTTTGTCACTCGGGAACTTTTAAAGATCTTCTCTTTCTTCCTCTTGATTTAAATATTTTATCTGTTTTTTGTTTGTTTTTTTTCTCTAGTGGATATTTGGAATGTATGGAGACACTGGGAATGCTGGGAGAGAGTGCTTTGGCATTTAGTTCTTGGAGGTCTAAGAGGTTAATTTTCTTGAAATGCAGGAAACAATCTCACCCAAAATGTCAATAGAAGGCCTGTTGAGAAGTACTGTGACCCTGGGGAAATCCTATACAATAAAAGGCTAATACACAAATCGACCGAATTGCACGACCAGTAGCTATGATGTGCTCTGCCCCCGGGTGATCAGTGTGCTTCCACAGGAGGAGCACTGCTCAGCCAGAAGTTGGCTCGTGGCTGGCCAGTGCAGAGGCAGTAGCAAGAGCCTCTCCCATCTCTACAGCAGAGCTAAGCCATTAGTTGGACATTCCCCAAGGGCTCCCAGCTGCCAGAGGGATGTCTGACTGCCAGCTTAGGCTCAATCCCTGGAGAAGTGGGCCTAAGCCTACAGGTGGACATCCCCCAGGGGTCCCAGAATGCGAGAGGATGAAGGCTGGGCTGAGGGACCTCCCCCCGTCTGAGTGCACAATTTTAGTGTACCAGAATAATCTTGACTTACATATTGATTATGGGGTATGACAAGAGAAGCAAGACATGTATACCAAAGACCAATCAGTGTGTTTGGTAATAATGTTATAGACATATGTGAAACAATGGAGGAAGAATGTGTACTGGTAAATTACATGGTATAAATGGAAATAAAATAAAAATCGCTGTGTGAAAAACAGTCATTACATTATCTATGAGTAGATATTTACCAGTAGATATTTAGATTTTGATATCTAGCTGGATATTATTTGCACTATTGTGCTTAATTAGATTGACAAGTTCTGTATTTCTAAGTAGGACTTGTTTTAATTACTTTGATAGGTCAAGAAAATGATTAACTCTTTTCTATGATGGGGTATCTATTTTGTACTCCAAACACTTAGCAATTCCAAATCCAGAAAGATTTGAGAAATGACATTTTTGTGAAGGCTAGAGTTTGACAATAATAGCCATACTTATCTAAATTGGAGTGGGATTCAGAAAGAAGTTGAACAAGGGTTGTACTTGTGCTGTTTTAAAGCATTTTCTGAGTTAGCAGTTTACAGTTCTATTTCATTAATATCTTGGGAAATTAATTATCAGAATTGCATGTATCACTAACTCTTTTATAAAAATACAAACATTCACTGACAAAGACGAATTGCTTTTAAATTATCCACCATTGTTTTCATGGTTCATTCATATTATTGCTTTATTTCACTAATGTGGCTGATTCAGGACACTGTACATTAGAAATACAGGACTCTAAGGAAGCAGAGAGGGATGAAGATAATGAGTGGGAAGATAGTGAAAGATGTTAAAATAGAGTTTGATCATTTTGTATTAATATAATTTTTAGGCATTTAAAAATAAGTGTTAATTCAGAATCATCATTTTAATGTGCATATGATTTACTTTCAGAGCCTAAATCTCAACTGCAGCAGCTACATCAGGGGCAACACAGATTTTTGAATACTGAGCAAAATGGAATAAAAGACAGTAATCAAACAAGATATCTTCCTCGGAATGATACCAGACAGCCAAGAAATGAAAAACCGCCTCGTTTTCAAAGAGACACCCAAAATTCGAAGTCAGTTTTAGAAGGCAGTGGATTGCCTAGAAATAGAGGTACTGAAAGACCAAGTACTTCTTCGGGATCTGAAGGATGGGCTGACGAGAGAATCAGATATGATAGACCCTATTCTAGATATGATAGGACTAAAGACACCTCATACTCTTTAGGTTCTCAGCACAATGATGGTGCTTTTAAAAAAAGGGAAAACTCTATGCAAAGCAGATCAGGAAGAGGTCCAGCCTATGCAGAGGCAAAAGAAAATCCACTTCCTCAAGAATCCATAGATTATAATAATCAAAAACGTGGGAAAAGAGAAAACCAAACAGCAAGTCCTGATAATTTTTATGACGGGAAACCACGAACAATAAATAATGAAGCTTTCAGTGGTGTAAAAATTGAAAAACATTTTCCTGTAAATACTGATTACCAGAATCCTGTCAGAACTAATAGTTTCATTGGTGTTCCAAATGGAGAGACAGAAATGCCACTGAAGGGAAGGCGAGTAGGACCTATTAAGCCAACAGGACCCAGCACAGCCACACCCTATGATGATAAACTATTTTACAATAGTGGTCCCAAAAGAAGATGTGGGCCAATTAAGCCAGAAAAAGTACTAGAACCATCTATTCCTGTGGAGTATGCAAAAGTGTGGAAACCTGGAGATGAATGTTTTGCACTTTATTGGGAAGACAATAAGGTATGCATGCTATAATGGTATTATATACTGATATTACTAAGTGTAACATTCTATTGAAACTGTACTTCCTTGAACAGATTTATAGATATCTTACCTAACAATAGACAAATATGTAAATTGACCGTACTCGCTATGCCCACCAGCCAATCAGGAGTGATATGCAAATCAATCCAACCAAGATGGTTAATTTGCATAGTTAGGCACCCAGTGCTGGGGGTGGCAACTACACAGGCATTCCATCCCACCCCTGGTTTCTCGGCCTCTGGGCAGCATGGGAAGGCAGGGCTGAAGTGGAAAAAGGCGGCTCCGGGGCTGGGCCATAGTGGAAAGGTGGTGCCAGCAGCCAGGGAAAGGAAGGCCCATTCTAGCACGAATCTTTGTGCATCGGGCATCTAGTATAATTTATAACAGGATAAATAAAATATTTATTATATTTATTGTTTTTTATGAATGATTAAGGGGAGTGATTCCCATAGATTTGATTATATTACATTTCATTTTAGCTTGAGTATTAGAATAGTATTATAAAAATGATTAAGTACAGTTGAGAAATGACTTTACTTGTCATCAACTGAACGGTTAATGTTTGCTTTTCGTTTTACTGAGATTATACTAATTCACAAGGAAGAAAATAATTTGAGTGGTTCAGAGTTAAATTCTGCAGATTTCATCTAACTTAAAGAAAATTTGCACAGACTACTTTTTAAAATAATTAAGAGAATAGTTAATTATTTATCTGATAATAAATAATATACTTATTAAACCAAATAAATTAAATATTCTTTTATTCTATAACATGCTGACAAAAAAAGAAAGAAAGAAAGAAAGAAAGAAAGAAAGAAAGAAAGAAAGAAAGAAAGAAAGAAAGAAAGAAAGAAAGAAAAGGGGAAGGGGAAGGGGAAGGGGAAGGGGAAGGGGAAGGGGAAGGAAAGGAAAGGAAAGGAAAGGAAAGGAAAGGAAAGGAAAGGAAAGGAAAGGAAAGGAAAGGAAGAAAGGAAGGAAGAGGGAAATTGTGAAGAAAGGAGAAAGGAAATATAGAAGATGAGGTCAAGAAGGAATAAAGTGGATCAGATAAAAGAGCCTGGCTGAGAGGGAGAAGACCACACAGTCAGACAGGAAGATGAGGAGGACAGAAAGACCCTTTGAGAAAAGAGTCTTTGCACATGTTTGCTGCCCAACATTTTCTACCAACTACTTCTTATCCTTGAGGGCTGGGCTCAAACATCACTTTCTAAAGGAAGCCTTCTCTAACCTGATCTCTTCTCTCACATTCCTGTCTTTCTCAGTCAGTGCCTTATTCACTTTGTTTAAGTTACTAGAATTTGTAAATTAATTAATCAATTTATTCATTTTTTTTGGTTACTGGATTGATAGCTCTCCCCTATCATAATTTTGAATTCTTAAAGGCAGGGTTTTGTCTAGTTTTTTTTTTTTTTCCTTTTTTTTCCTGTAGCTCTGCTTTTCCCACAATGTAGGAATTTAATAATTATTTGTTGACTCTGTTAATTAGTTAATTTTGAATGGAGCACTTATATAGGAAAAAAGTAGAGTGGTTAGAGGACTGGTGCTATCAGCAAGGTAATTAAAACTGAGGTAATGGAGTTATAATGATGGGGACATGCATAGATGTGAGGATCAGGTCAAAGAAAAAAATATTAGTAGTAAATAATTCATAAGTTGAGTACTTTCAGTTGTAAAATAAGGATGTGCTCATGGGAGTGTGTGTGTGTGTGTGATTAAAATAAGTGATGGAAGTAAAGTTAACTGAAGATTTCAAGGGATTCAAATTCAGGCTAGGAAGTATGGCTGGATCCTTTAAAAAGATGCTGTAGCCCTGGCCATTGTGGCTCAGTTAGTTGAGCGTAGTCTGGTGCATATAAACGTCACCAATTTAATTCCTAGTCAGGGCACATACTCAGATTGTGAGTTTGATCCCCAGTCAGGTTGCATACAGGAAGCAAACAATCAGTGTCTCTCTCTTTCCCTCTCTTTTCCTCTCTCTCTAAAAGAAAACCCACACACAGAGAGAGAAAAAAAATGCTGTAGGGAACCAGGTCCTGTGGTGTTCAATGAGTGATGAGGTATAAACAGGCGTTAGGAGTTACCTGATGATACCAGCAAAGAGTACAGGGTGGTATAACCAGGTGGCATAGTTGTTTGCATGTGCGATGATGTTTATCTAGAAGCAGCATCTCTATTGCCAAGTTTTTATTCAAGGCCAAAAGGAGGGGATGAGATAGCATTAGCTGTGGTGTGTGTGTGTGTGTGTGTGTGTGTGTGTGTGTGTGTGTGTGTGTTTCTGATAAAGCAAAAGCCTTCACAGGAATATCAACAGACAAGCTCCTTTTACTTGGCTACTTCCTGGCTATTAGGAAGGCTTGGAAAGCAAGTACTGTTCAGACTATTACTCTTTCAACTCAGACCACTCACTTTCCAAAATACAGGAACTGTTTGATTTGGGAAATGAGGGATTATTTAATATTTACCTTTTTCTCCTTTATGCAAAGGCAAGAAAAGGTCAAGTAGTTAGAAATCAGTGTTGGTTTGTAGAACTTAGTGTCTACCTTAGAGTAGACCTTCTGTCAGGTGCTTCTGTTAAGATGAAGGTGGAAAATGTTTTTTCTATATTGGATTAGTGTGGGGTTGTTGATGAGTTCAACAAGCAGAGGAGGTAAGTGATTGGAGTTCAAGACAGATAAAGTTTGAAAGGATAAAACCTCACAGGGATCATGCCTTAATAATAAGTAAAAAACTTCTACAAAAAAGCCATTATAAAGTCTAAAACCAGCCCTTTACAGCAAGCATATCAAAGTCAAAGGCTAACACAGGCCAAATAAACAAGATTTAAGTTTATGTGGGCCACAAAAAAACAAGTTTCAATTTTCATAGAAACATAGATTTATTTTCATAGAGACATGCTGAATACAAAAAGCTGAAATAAGTGAGCAATCGTTAACATAATAGAACATTTTAATAAAAATTAATATATTTTTTTAATATTAACTTACCAGACACTGAATAAGCACAAATTAATAAGCATAATGGAAATAAGCCTATTTTTCTTTTCTCCAAAAGAATCTTTTGAATATTTTACCTGCACTGCCTGGAATCCTATAAAAAAATTATGAGCCAGAGAGAGAGAGAGAGAGAGAGAGAGAGAGAAAGGGAGAGAGAATATGATAGACCAGAAACAAAGCAACAGAGAAAAATAAAAGATCTAGAGATATTGAGATATTAGACTTAGCAGGCAAGTTCTTTAGCAAATATTGAGTATTCAACAAACCATAATTGAATGGCTGCTAAGTGTCAGGTACTTGTGATAGATCAGATAGTTCTGGCTGTGTTATTACTCATATGACTTCAAATACTACCTTCTGAAAGACAGCACCTAATAATTCCCAATTGTTTTGAACTTTGAGTATTTTTAGAATTATTGGATGTCCTTTTAAAGTGACTACTTTGATTTTAATTGGATATATCCTTTCAGTTTAGAGTGAGGGACTGTTGGCTCTATATAGATTATACAATTAAACAAATGAGATAAACAACATTTACCCTCTGAAAGAGATGGGATTAGTTATATCCCATAAAACCGCCTAATTTAAGAGATAATTTTTATTTTTTTTAAAGTATGTTTTTATTGATTTCAGAAAGGAAGGTGAGAGAGGTAGAAACATCAATGATGAGAGAGAATCATTGATGGGCTGCCTCCTGCACACCCCCTACTGGGGATCAAGCCTACAACCAGGCATATATCCTGACTGGGAATTGAACCATGATGTCCTTGTTCATAGGTCAACACACAACCACTGAGCCACATAGGCTGGGCGAGAAAGCTTTTAAATGTTTTGTCAAGAATATGCAATTTTCTAGCCAGAGACCAAGGTAAAGATTTAAGAAAACCATTAGTTTTTAAGAAATCATAATCTTAATTGCATTACAATGATGTTTTGGAACTGATTGATCAATTAGTGTAATTAATAATTTAAAAATTATTCCCAGTATCTTGCCTTCTCTCAAGTTTTATTTGCTTTGAAGAATTTTAAAATCTGGGACAATTCTTCCTCTAAACTGTCATAATTAGTTCAATGCTTTTTGCCCTCTGAACTGGAATACTCGAACCACCTCCAAACTGGTCTTCTCGCCTCAAACTTTTTTTTAATATATTTTTATTGATCTCAGAGAGGAAGGGAGAGGGAGAGAGAGATAGAAACATCAATGATGAGAGAAAATCATTGATTGGTTGCCTCCTGTATGCCACCTACTGGGGATCAAGCCTGCAACCTGGTCATGTGCCCTTGACTGGAATCAAACTTGGGACAGGCAGATGCTCAATCCACTGAGCCAAACCAGCTAGGGTGCCTTAAATTTTATTCCTTTTACACTTGTCATTGAAACTGCCGCCAGTGTGCTTTTGGGCTTAAAACATATCATTCTTCCTAATTTAAATCTTTTACCTGTAAAATAAATACATATTCTAATATGCATTTAGAGCCTTAGTCAGTTGGCTCTTACCTTCTTGTCCTGTCTAATTTCCTATTGGTTTACCCTTTTTCTCACATCATACCATAATTAATTTTAAACTCTTTATAGTTTTTTGCACTCATCTTCATGTTTTATGTCTATAACCTCCCCTGAAACAAATACTTTTCTCAGTTATTTACTTGGCTAAACCCTCTTCAGCCTGAAAGACTATATTAATTATCATCTGCCCAGGAAGCTCTTCCCAAACTCCTTAGCTTTATCAAATGCCATATCACTACACCTTTATTACAGTGCTTTCTACATTATATAGGAGTTACTTTTTACATGAGTTGTCTTTATGAAAGTGTTAAGTTCTAAAAAGTTGTCAACTTACTTGTTTTCCTAGGCTATATTGTGACTCATTGTTTGTTGAACTTACCTAATTATCTGAGAAGCTTATATTTGAAGCATAGGTCCAAAAATACTCACAACAATTCACAATACAGAAGTATGAGGCTAAAGATATAAAAGAGGGATGGAGAGATGTGAATATATATCAGAACTCCAAGATTTGGGAAATCCCCACATGATGTCTCTAAATTTCTTAGCATCCAGACTTAGGAAGAAAGCACCATGGATTAACTTTATAACCTTTGTAGTATGAAGTATAGTAGTTACTCAGAAAAATAGATTCTTTCCTGATAAGTCATATATTAGAAGGATATGAAAAATAAGAATTTCTGTTGCCTTTAGCATTTTTTTTTATTCTGGTGAGCCTACTTAGTACTGTTAAGAATAGACAGCATTATAGTAGAGAGTCCAACTAACCTTATTTAAAGAAATTATTCCTTAAGAGAAAATAATTTTTCATGTTTACTAAGCAACATTCCGACCTATAATTTAGATCCTGAATGGGTTGACCAATTAATTAGTGACCTATCCCTAGTTACTCCTTACCTGACATTCCTACTTCCCTTCAGCTGCCTGTGATGTCAGCAGCAATGAGCCTTTTTCTTTGTATTTATTTTGTCATATGTTTACGTTTTTGTAAGTTGCCTCATCCTATATAATAAAAGGCTAATATGCAATTCGACCGAACAACAGAACGACCAGTAGCTATGGTGTGCACTGACCACCAGGGGCAGATACTCAATGCAGGAGCTGCCTCCCTGGTAGTCAGTGCGCTCCTACAGGGGGAGCGCTGCTCAGCAGAAGCCAGGTTCATAGCTGGTGAGTGCAGCGGTGGTGGTGGGAGCCTCTCCCGTCTCTGTGGCAGTGCTAAGGATGTCCAACTACCAGCTTAGGCCCACTCCCTAACATCTCCTGAGGGCTCCAGGACTGCAGAGAGTGCAGGCCGGACTGAGGTACCTCCTCCCCCCAAGTGCACAAATTTTGTGCACCAGGCCTCTAGTATTTATATATTCTGATTAATACATAAAAAAAAAAATCTTACTAATATTAGTTAAAGAACTTCAGTGGCTGACAAAACATAACACTAGTTCTTTATATACCCGCTGACGTAAGAATATTCTCTCCTGACCATCGAGCTCTGTCCTGAAATATTAATACTATTCATTGTTATGTCAGAATTCATATGGATGAGATAACTTATTTTTTTTTAGCCAATTTATGATTATTCAAAGGTAAGTTTTATTTCTTAAATACATTATTCTTTTAATAATTATTTTCTTTAAAATATGGCATATGGGAAAGTTGCAAAGAGAATAAATCTTAAAAGTTTTCATCACAAAGAAAATTCTATTAACTGGCAATGATCATTGAAATTATTGTGGTGCTCATTTTATACATATACATATGTCAAATCACTATGTTATACATCTAAAACCATAATAGTTTATCTCAAAATATTAATTAAAAGAAGATTGAGCTTTCAAATAAATTATGCATTCTAGCACTTCAATTATTCACATTTCCATCTAGTATTGCCCTTTGTAGACAATGTTGATGGCCATATTTAAAACTCCTTTTTTCTCCTCAGTTTTACCGAGCAGAAGTTGAAGCTCTCCATTCTTCAGGTATGACAGCAGTTGTTAAATTCACTGATTATGGAAACTATGAAGAGGTGCTACTAAGCAACATCCGGCCCATTCAAACAGAGGCATGGGTATGTGATCCAAATTCTGTACACAGGCAGAAGCTAATTTGAAGAAAATACCTAGCTATGAAAAATTAGTTATAATCAACAAAGTTTTCCAGTGGAAAAATATTTTGAGTTTGCTTAAAACTGGCCATCCCTGAAGAACGATTTTAATTTAATAATTACACTGAACTACAATAAAAATGAAAGCATTGCAATTACCTTTTTTGTATAATGCTTTGTTATATTATTCTTTAAAAATAGGTGCCCTTATTTTTGTTTACTAAAATTTGTATATGTAAAATTAGTTTTTTATGCATATTTTGTTACTTTAAATTTGACTAAATTATGTCCAGCAGTTTTCAAATTTAAATTTCTGTTGGATACATGTATATTCTTTATTATTTTAGTTACATGTAAAATTAAGAAAAATATTTTAAAGTATATATATGAGTTCTTACTGCATTTAATACACATATGTTTATGTATGTATATGTACAGATTAACTATAAATATCTGTTCAATACTTATCTGATTACTTTTGTTTCTAAATGTTATGTCAAAGCTGGTGTGATACGTTTGATGATGTAATTTAGAATGTACTGTCCTCATGGAGTCCATTTAATTCAGAGTTTATGTGACTTTATATGTATATAGATTCTCAACTACATTTAGGCAAAAACAGGAGGACAAGACATATTAAACTAGTTTGATAACTTCATAAATTTTATTTCTTTTCTCCAATTTATGGGTAGCTATTAATAAACTTATCTTTAGAAGCCCAATTTGTTGCTATTTCCCTAAATTATCAAAATAAACTAGAAAATTACATCATCTAGATAGTAGCCATCATCACTGAAGCACATGTTGTTTTCTCATAAACTGCTTTTAGGTTTGGCATTTTTATTTTTTACATTTTTTCTCAGTCATACTCCCTGTCCCTGCATAAAAATAAATAAAACAACAAAAAAAACCTTATAGCCATAATCATGTTTTGGGCCATGGATCTTGATTCTTTACATTTTTATTACAGAAAAACTATTTTCTAGATAATTTGTCATTATATATTTTACAGTGTAATATTACTAATGACTCATATGCTTGATTCAAAGATTATTTTCTTCTCTTTTTTTTTTTTTTTTTTTTTAAGTTTAGCCACTTTTTCCCTAAAAAAACTGAAATACTATAATATCTTATTTCTTTTCTTGGAGAAATTCATTGTACTTAAATTTTTGCCCTTGTTGATTCTCATATGATGACTATTTTTTATTTCTATTAATTTTTATTTCTTTTTTCTATTAATGCATCTTAATCTAGTTTTTATAGTAAAGGTAATTATTTATTGAGTCTGTATTCTAGGAGTTGAGTCCCGGTTTGCTGTTCATCGTATGCTCCCAAATGTGTTTAGCCATTATGGTCAGAGGTTAAAATAGAATTTTCACATTAGTTTTCTTTTTATTTTTTAGAGATTTAATAATAAATTGATTTATCCTTTCCTCCCTAAAGAGAAATTTAGTTTTCTTACTTCATTTCTTCTCTACTTCCTTTTTCTATTTCAGGGTAGCCATAAGTGATGAGTATATTTGTCTTTCCTCACTGTAGCTCTTCCATTCAAAGGTGTTTGGTACTGAAGTGGTTATTTTCTTCCCACAGTCAGTGGCTTTTCCTCCCCTTACTCCCAATAGTCATCATTGCTTTTATTGCTATGTAAACTTAGCTGGACAATAACTTTACCAGATGTCACAGCCCATGTAATGATTCTGTTCTGAACATAATGCGTTCATATTCTTCCTACCCCTTTATGAGTACTCATATATATATGTTGTGCTATTTGCTATCAACTTAAAAAGTTTCTTATAAGATGCTTGAAATGTTTTTTCAGAAAGAAGCAGGATAGACTCACTAAATCTTTTGGAGATTCTTATGTTTCTTTTCTCCTACTTACAAATAATCAAGTGATTGTTGATGTTTTATGATTTTGCAAAACTTAATATAACAAATATTTTTGGATCATGATTATCATTACTGAAGATAAGATCATCCTTTCTTCTTTATCTGCATGGATAACTGACTTAGTTGTAGAAGCATCTTATTCTTGATGTATAGAAGCCACCAGCTTAACATATCTTCATCCATCTCCATTTTAAAAAATACATTAAAAGCCCCTAAAAAAAAGTTATGTGACTGTCAATACGTTTAATGTAGAGTTAGTGTAAAATTCTCTTAGACTCTGAGAGTATTAATGTTGGGGTGTATGAACATTTTTTTATAACGGGGAAATTGTAACAAGTTTTAAGTTAATCAAAACAAAACATTCACTATGCCAATAACAAGGTAACTCTAATTGGTAAGTCATATTAGAAAAATTAAAGGGCTGTAAAAGTACAGTGAAGATTTTAGAAGCCAGCACAAATATTCATTCACACTATGGATTGTGCAATTTTTTTTTAATTCTTGCACTATATATGTGCTTTACAATTTTTTAAATTGTGAACTGATATCTTTTATTAAGGATTATATTTGCTATTTGCAGAAGATTTTGGAAAACCTATTTTTCTAAATGTAGCAATGATTATGGATTGAAGATTTTTTTTTTTTAGTTTGCAGAAAAACAATTCAAAAAGCCTGTAATAAGCCAAAAACCTTTATAAAAATCAGTTGCCTGTATTGTCTCTTAAAAGTATACAGATAAATCATTAAATAAAAAGCATGAAATATTAAGAGGCTCAATGAATAAGTTAATAGTCCCTTATATGGAAAATCAAAATCAAAATCTAGTTAGTAGTTTAAAAAAATCTAGTTAGTAGTAGCAAAATTCCTGCCCACTGCACAAAGTATTAATATTTTTCTCACGAAGTTTAGGGATTATTTGCCTTAATTCTATCTATAGGCCAAATGTCTATTTTCCCTTTCCTTCTGGAAACACCGTTTTATTTCCAGAACATACTCAGTGATTATATTTATATGGCAAAAATTTATGTTCTGATTATGATTGAATACTTTATTTCCTCTAAAATTATTTACTAAACCTTTTGGTAAGACATTTTAATTTTTTTTATTCTACCTGGATTTCACCTGGTTCTTTTAAGTATCAAAAAAAAATTCTGTCTTTGTTATAGGAACTCTCTAATTATCATAAATAATGTGAGATCCACAGCTCATTCTTAACTGAATAAATACTCTTAAGCTTTTTTCAATGGTCTTAAAATATTACAGGATTTTCCTTATTTTATTAAAATAATTGAAACACTAGGAGTCTCATTTTATCTGGAAAATTATATAGGGGGAAAACCATTCTATGTATTATTTTATACTTCTGATCATTGTTTGAGAAAACAGTAGGGGCAAAGAAAACCTCCTTTTTATCTTCCCTGCAGTCCCCTCCAAATTGGTTTCTTTTAACTCTAAAACTAATACCAGAAAACCAGTAAAAAGATGCCACAGGCAATTTGGAATTACTGAAAATACCCTGGTGCTGCTGCTCAGACAAATCTTTTGTGTTTTACAGTGTTGTTGCTCCTGAATTGCTTTTCTAAACTTGAAAAAACACTGTCAAGTCCTGATTCTCCAAGTATATTTATGACTTGAGTTCCATTGCAACTTATATCCAAAAAAATGTTTTTAGAACATACTAGTTTCTAAAATTTCTTTTTAAAAATTCATAATATTTGCTTCTTGGTATCAGGAAATTATCATTGTTTGGCTGTTGTTTTAACTAGAAAAAATATTTTATAGGTAATGGCGGTTCTAATACTTTAGCATGCACAATGTGGACAGGAGTGCTGGAAAGTGATAGATGATTGTTACCGGGTTTTAGATGATTATTCTATCTTAATTATTTTATGTAAGGTATTCATTTATTCAACAAATATTCATTGCACATCTATTAGGTGCCAAGCACTAGTGTAGGTCAGGGATACATATTTATAGGCAAAACACAAAATTCCTGCCCACTATACAAAGCAAGAAGAAAGTCCCAGATCTGGTTATGTAAAGCACATTTACTAGTAAGTATCTCATGAGAGTCTTGATTTATATTTTTTGAGAATTTAAAACAAAATGGTGAAAATCTTGTTTACTAAAGTTTTTATTTAAATAGTGTTTAGGTCTTTATTTATTCCACCTGTTTAAAGATAAAATGAATAAGAAAGTAGAAGTTATTTAATGAATTTTATCTACTTAAAAAGTTCTTTTTATCTATTTAAAAAATAAAAAAATTGTCTTTAGAAGGTTTTGGATTTTTAAAACTAATTATATATATTTCAATATTAGCATACTTTAAGAAAAGAACTACCTTAAAGTTTTACTTTTGAAGTAACTTTGTATAAAATTTATTTTATAATGACATTGTAGGAAGCACATTTGGAAGTAAGCTTTTCAAATTCAAATATTCATAAAAATCCTTAAGTTATTCTACCACTAGTAAAAATATTAAAAAGAGATGTAGAAACAAACAAACAAAAATCCTAACCTATTTACTGAGGAAGGAGATTGAGAGTTGTAATACAGAAAAAATGAGTTAAAATGAATCCTAAATGTATTAGAACAAGGTCATATAAGTAATTTTAATGACATAATGATAAAATTACACTTCAGTTTGTATTTGATATCAAAAGACCATAAAAGATATTAAGAAGAAAACAATTTTTATAGAAACCATTAACTTCATAGGAAAATTACAATTATGTGACAGTGAAGTTCTACCAATTAATATCCAGTAAAAAGTACAAGTACCTATTTTAGAAAGTTTTTCATTCTAGATGACAAATTCTTAAATTAATTAGTGGATATAATTTACCATATTTAAATTTCTACATTAAAAAACAATTTGAGCCCAGCTGGTTTAGTGGTTGAGTGGTGACCAGGACAGTTCGATTCCCCGATTCCCAGTCTGGGCACATGCCTGGGTTGCAGGCTTCATCCCCAGTGTGAGGTGTGTAGGAGGCAGCTGATCAATGGTACTTTCTCATCATTGATGTTTCTATCTCTCCCTTTCTCTCTCTGAAATATTATCTATCTATCTATCT